GCGTAGGAATTGTCTGATTGGACAGGAGCTGGAATAGGTTGGAACAACGTTGGAATAAGTCGTGGAATAAGTGGCTCTATGGTTGCTAGGTTCAGTCGGCCATAGCGTCTCCGAAGGCTCTGATTCCATTTACTGCATCACCCACGCAGTCCAGTGCACTGAACCAAACAGCCACTGAATGTTGCAAGCCCTTTTTGGCGTCATTTCATTGTCTTGAACAAAACCACCCCTAAATAAAAGCTGTTTCTGTTTTGGATTGTTCAGATCGCCCAGTCGTGAGTAACAAACCCAGAAGCGTGCGCATGCTTCATGCAAACTTGGACGTGATGATCACAAGCTTCAGAGTACAGCCCCTAAGCTTAGATTAGCTGATGACATTTATACCACCTTCACCGAATACCAAATCATTAGCCCGAAACCCTGCTATGAATCAGCCGCGGGGCGAAGGCTTCGCATGTTGTGTTACTCATTGTTTGGTGTTCTGACATGGTTCTCGTGATCTAAATTACCAAATCATGACATGAGAATTTCGGCGAACACTGAGCATATTCATAGCACAGACATGGCGATTTCTGCGGCCTGCGTATAGTCTTATGCCTTTTGTGTTGAGAAATCCGAAATCATAAGCGTACATGCCTTGAATGCGTGCATACTCGCTTAGTCTAGACACCGGCTATTGATCCTAATGCCATCAACATGTGATCAGTGTTTTGACGAAGCCGTGTCTCTGGGCGCCCTTTCAGAGGTCATCATGCACCAGAGTACCATGAACACGTCGGGTGGGGGCCGGTTTGACTCCCGCAAGATTTTTCCAGGATAACTTCCGAACGGCCCAACGCAGCCGCGCCAAATTCTGTAAAGCTGTAGGCAATTTAGCATATGTTACCTTTAAGGTCGATGACTTATGACAGGTCGAAGTCAGGCCGTGGCTCTCACAGAACGCAATTCCCAGGGAACCGTTCGATCTGTTGTGACAACGGAGTATTAGACGGAAGGATGTACATCTCTAATATAGTTCAATAGAAAACAAGACCATTGGTTTCAGGATTATGACTTCTTTCATTGACCTTGGGTCAGGCATGAAAGTCAGACTAAAGTCAAGGCAAAATTGTTCTTATTTACTGGAGAACGTGCGAGATGGGACGCTTGTAATGCTCATTCCGTATGCCTTGGTCACAGGTCGTCAAGAGACATATTGTTTGGGCTTTATGAAGGTAATAGGAGGTCACTGATCCCGAATGACCTCAGTCAACCATCATTTTGAAATGTACCGCCTCGCCCAATCAAAATCCTTGACGCGCATGCAAATAAAAAAGAAACCAGACTAGTGGGTTTTTGATCACCGTGAGCTTTTCAGATTCATGTAAGGTCACAAAAGTAAACTAAACACCAGTGACTTTTTTGCCTCGTGCAAATGTCTAAGGTAAAGACGGTTGCATGTGGAGGTCTGAAGGGACTTTGTACGCCTCTTTATAAGTTAATCTTATTTGACCTTGTTTGATCCAAAAGTCATAACTTACGGGCCTCGCGTCAACAATCTCGTAGGCTTTGCAGTTAGTCATTTTTGAAGTCTGTGAAGACCCGCACAGGGCACGAAATTAGCCGAAACATGTTATTGGGGTCGGAAAGATTGCTTTATGACGGTTCTTTCGCATCGCGTTCATTCCTCGCTTGCATTCTCCTTTCCTACTTCCCTCAAAACCGTGATGTGCTATTGCGCCTAGTGTATTTGATTCAAATCCAGAGACATAATCTACGCACACGGCGCTAATACGCTCACGCACTGCTACCCCGGCCCCCTCCGCAATCGTCTAATCACCAATTTGCCGACGAATTTTACTCTCTTCGTAATTTGACCTGTCGGGGCGCACGGCTCAACCCGTCAGCCCGTTCTTGGCATTATCTAGAACCACGTGCGGCGCACGCACACTGGACTTCTGCGCCAGACACAGACAGGCGGAAGCAGGAGCGAACCCCGCATGGAACCTGGGCGCGGAGGGCATGGTCTGTGGGGTGCACCAGGAAGACGAATGATTCCAAGAGAACTCGTTGAAAAGAGATGGTTTTGCACCCGTCTTGGAACGAGGACGAGTCAACGCGAGGTCTGCCCACTTAGATCCGCCAGTGGGCCGAGGTCGTGTGTCTGCTGCACTTAGGTAATGAGCTCTGGTGTGTATCGAGCCGCGGCCGGCGGCTGCCGTGCCGTGCCGAGCCGGGGGTGGGGCGAGTCACGCCTCGCCTCAGCGTGCTTCGACTCGACTCGGGTAGGCTCGGGTCGGCTCGGCTCGGCTCGGCTCGGCTCGGCTCGGCTCGGCTCGGCTCGGCTCGGCTCGGCTCGGCTCGGCTCGGCTCGGCTCGGCTCGGCTCGGCTCGGCTCGGCTCGGTTCGGCTCGGCTCGGCCAGGTCAGGCCAGGTCAGCTCGGACACGACAGAGGCTACCGCAGACATACGCGCGGACATTAAAGCTTAGCTTCATTGCGCGGTGGTGGTGACTACTTGCCATTGCCAGAAGTAGCAAAACAAACGTAGCGGGCAGGGTGTGAGGTAGGGGCTTTGCTAACTTTCTCAAACGTGTCTTCGTCCTTCACTGAAGAGGCGGAGACCCAGTCAGAAAAACAGCCAGTCGGGAGATCGCTTGCTGGTTGTGAGCCGCGTCAACCCCGAACTTTTTATGATTAGACCAAACCCTTTGATCGGGTGGATTTCTGGGACCAGCCCCTCGGTATTCAGTGCTTGAGTGCTGCGTGAGTCCTAAATCAATTATCTGATTGTGCGATTCCAGGTTAACGACATATTTTTGGGCAAAAGCCAACGTGTCCCAATACTCGGAACAATCCGTTCTGCCCTCTGACATCACCTGACCTTTTCGCGCGGCCGATGCCACCGACCGCAGGCCTTTCCAGTCACGGACAAGTAAGGAGCGCCTAAAGCGCCTAGAGCTCACCTCACCACGGGTTGGTGAATCGAAAACAGGCGCAGTAACCAGCTCAGCTATCGGAACGGACTCGTTGCACGTGGCTGTGATTGACCGCCGTCAGACCCGTGATTCCTCCAAGGCTGCGGACCCTGGGGCAGGGGAACATTCCCAAAATTTGATGGAATTTAGCACCTGTCCCTGAAACCTAGGAGAAAATTCAACATACTTTGAATGGCAAAGACTGCATTCAAATGGTGTTTCAGTCCCCAACGTTTCGCAAGCTCCCACATCCCTGTCCCGGCTGATCTCTAACTCCAGCTGACCCCGGCGGCACCTCACGGCTATGTCCGCCGGAGCCTCCCCTGATACCTCACCTGAACCTGAACCGCCGCACCTGACACATCACCTGACACCTCACCTGACACCTCACCTGACACATCACCTGGCACCTCACCTGACACCTCACCTGACACCTCACCTGACACCTTACCTGACACCTCACCTGACACCTCACCTGACACCTCACCTGACACCTCACCTGACACCTCACCTGACACCTCACCTGACACCTCACCTGACACCGTGCTGCCTGTCGCAGTTCCCGGCGGTGACCGTGTGCAACAAGAACTGGTTCAACCTGACGCGGGCTCGCCGCCTGCTGAACGCCGTGTTCCCGCGCAACAACTGCTCCGATGAGGAGATGCTGGCCGACAATGTGGAGGCGGACACCAACTGCACGTGAGGACAGATAACCACGGCCCTCGTGCGGCGGAAACATACGCGCGGTAGAGCTGAGGCATTCTACATGCTTATTTGGCTTATTTGTAGTTTATTAGTCGGCGTTAGAGCCTCAATGTGGCCACGGAGTTCGGGTTCTGGCTGTCGCTCTGGACACTGTGAGCTCATGTGGCCGTATCACTTGGTGCGCTTTATGAAGCGCTGCGCAGCCGAACAAAAAATCTGTGAATAAAGTTACCGGGGACGAAATCGCGCCGGTGACTCGTTGTTGGTAGGTGTCCTGGCGTGTCCAGCCGCTATCCTTAAGGGAATGTTCCATGTTTGAAGATATTGAAGCAAGCATCAGATACGATGAAATAAGTTCATTTATAACTATTTGTGTACTTTTAAGTGGAGAAGACTGCTCTAAACAACACAATTCTTTGTTTAACAAACATGCTTCTCAATACGTCACTGTTTGATTACGTCATCGTACCTTGCACAACACTGACAGCCAATTGACGGGCGTTGTATTAGGAGATCGTGCTCACTAACGTCAGATATGAACAACCCGGCAGTTACATTTGTTTTGGCCTTGATCACCGCATGACAAAGGGAATTGTAGGACATGAATGACATCACTATGACGTCATGAATGCTTGGGTGACCTGAAATAGTCTGCACAAAATGGTCTGCACATGTTCGCAGGCGTTCAGCTCAGACACTAGAGGGGATTGAATTCTAAGAAGGGCAAGGCTGTGAACTGTGCCGAACGCTCTTCAAGATGTTCATTTCGGCTAAAACCACATACCAATGTGTAACACTCTCTTAACGTGCACTCATGCTTGGGAATGTGATGCCTGGATGTGACATCCAGTATTTAGGGTGAGTGGTTGCCAATGTAGCTTAACCCCAAACTGAATGACTCGACAAAATCGTCATCTTTGTTATCAGGCTACGTGGGGTAATTCTTTTGAAAAGCAACAATTGTGAAATTTAGGATTAAACATGAGTGAGATTTTTTAGCTCTTGTTCCCAGTGTGACTGATGGATTAACTTGCTCTCATTCTAAAAGAAACAATGGATAATACACAAGTAGTCAGCGATTACAAAGTACAGTACAGAATCAAATCAACAATCTTTTTAGATATGATTTAACGATATAAGTCGTATAACATGCCATAGTGCTTATACCATATGTAATATGCTTTATATAATATAATATTATGAAAATAGAATAAGAATTTTGTAATTAAAAAATTGGACTATTAAATGACAAAATACCAACTTTTCGATGCACCTGCCGCGTCGATGACACAGGATTCATACAAATGCCATTTTAGCGTGTCATTTATTACATGACGTTCCAGGTGATCATTGATTTAGCCCAATCCTTTCGTCCAATCTGTCTGACCCAGGCATCAAAAGGATGCCAGTAAGTACCAAGCACATACGTTTTACCTTGTCAATTAAAAGCGACAGAACTAGATTTTAACTTTGCTGTGTGCAGGAGAGACATTACGTTCTTTAATGTCTGCTCCTTCCCCTAATGTTTTCAAACACGATTGGTGGTGTTTTTGCCCACACAGTCGCGTGCAACAATTTCTAAATGGTTTGAGACGTTGTTCTGGTTGGAGGCCATGGTTACTGAGTGCCGACTTATGCATGACCGGCCCCCGCCGAGAGCCACTGTGCCCAGCCGAGGGGGACACGGGGAGCACACCCACCCACCGGCTGGGTGACGAAGCTCCCCCCAGAGGCCCTGGACGTCCGGTCGTTACGTACCCCGGGGTGTGACAGCCCGGCACGCGGGTGGGCAGGGCGTCACGCAAAGAGCAGCCGAAGCTGGCCCGGGCTCTTGGCATGCCCAGCCGAGCTCCTGACGGAATGCGATCATGATGCTAATGGATAGTGAAGGCCGGCCTGACGTATATATAGGCATCCGAAAATCCGTGTCAATAGTGAAACCGTTGGCCAGGTAGCCATCATAACTGGTCGATCCGTATCATCATCCGGTGTCAAAAGTTTCATAACGCTATGCCAAACATTAATTGTATGCATCAACAGCCCACGATTCCAACAGCTGTGTACTGTTACTAAAGAAAACGTTGCAATATGTATAGATGCTTTCGGTTCCGAGGGCGTTTCTGCGCTATCTTCACACGTTCGCTCCTGCGCAAGGACCGTTCAGAACATCTTGTTATCGACAAGTCGTGTTCCAGCCGTTGCCAAATTTGATCCCACTGCGTATGATGCGCTTCAGCTCTGCGCCCCGTTCAAGCGCCACATGCCTTCGCGTCCGAGCAGCACTGCCAGTAGCACACCTCCACTTCTGGTTTCAGGGTGGCCAACACTATCGGCCATCACCTGGCTGACAAAGGCGCTGCGCTGGGGGAAAGCGGACCTGAACCTGCTGGCGAGGGCTATGCGCTGGACGGCCAGGACGCTGTCCTCGACGCGAGCGCAGTCTGGAGGCTGGCCGCGCACAACTTCTCCGTGCTCATTCAGGAGGTACTGGTCCGATGCCCGTCTGGTCTGGTCTGGCAAAGACTGCTGGCCTGGTGTGGCAGGCGCCTCTGGTCTGCCGTGGGGGGGGGGAGGGGTGCTTCTGGTGCTTCTGGTGCTTCTGATCTGGTTCAAGAGGCACTGCCTGTCCTGTGTGGGAGGTACGTCTGGTCTGGTTCAGGGGGCACTGCCAGCTGTGTGTGGGAGGTACATCTGGTCTGGTTCAGGAGGCACTGCCGGTCCTGTGTGGGACGTACTGCTGGTCTGGTATGAAAGGTAAGGCTTAAATGATGCGGTAGGTTCTGTTGGTCTGGTGTGAGAAGTAACACTTGTCTCATGTGGGAGGTATTGCTGGTCTGGTGTAAGTGGTAAGGTTTGTCTAATGTGGAAAGAATTGCTGTTCTTGTGTAAATGTTAGCGCTGGTCTGGTGTGGGAGATACTGCTGGTCTTGTATGAATGGTATCGCTGGTCTGGTGTGGAAGGTACCTCTGGTTTGGTGCAGGAGGTACTGCTGATCTTTTCTGAATGGTGCCGCTGGTCTCGTGTGGGAGGTGCCTCTGGTTTGGTGCAGGAGGTGCCGCTCGTCTGATGTGAGATGCACCGCTGGTCTGATGTGAGAGCCACTGCCGGTCTGATCAGGGAGGTGCCGATCGTCTGATGTGAGATACACCGTTGGTCTGATCAGGAAGGTGCCGATCGTCTAATGTGAGATACACCGCTGGTCTTATGTGAGAGCCACTGCCGGTCTGATCAGCAAGGTGCCGATCGTCTGATGTGAGATACACCGTTGGTCTGATCAGGAAGGTGCCGATCGCCTGATGTGAGATACACCGTTGGTCTGATCAGAAAGGTGCCGATCATCTGATGTGAGATACACCGTTGGTCTGATGTGGGAGGCATGTTGATGTGATTTGATGTGGGAGGAGGTCTGATGTTGTGATGTGGAAGGTCCTTCTGGTCTGGTGATGGAGGGATCACCCTTGTCAGCTGCGCTGTAAAACCACGAGCGCATTTCACATCAAAGATGATTGCCTATCGGCGCCCGTCATTGACTGTTGGCTCAGCAATCCATTTGGGCTGTCACTCAAATCAGATACGTTTCTTATCTGGCATAGCCAGTTTGAGCATTTTCTGCCGGGCGTCTCCGAAAGCAATCTATTCAGAGCCGTCACTCAGATCAAGGCCGGAGCTAATCTGGCATGCCTCAGCCAACACTTCGCTCTGCCAAACACCTGTCGTGTCCAGGAAATCTTCTCACAAGGCTATGCGGGACTGGAAACGCTCTTGGTCAGCTCGCTGACGCTTAGTCATCCCAAACACCGCAGTAAGGACGCCTTTGTTTACACCGTATCGTCTCAGTTTACTCCGCATGCTATTCGCTGTAAGTTCCACAATTCTGCTCTTAAGCCTATGTTATTTCTTTCGTTTAAAAGGATTGCATTATTAAAAGCATTTTTTCCATATTCCTCGAACCACCAGAACTCTTATACCTCCAACGAACCTTGAACAACCAATATTTGCTACTTTTGCGCCTGGTTTTCGGTAAGAGCGTTATGATCGAACCGGCACACCCATTTTATAATAACGCTGCCGCATACTCGTCTTTTCTTTAGCCGATGCTGAGGTCTAGCCTCATCGGACTGCTACAGCGTGAACAGAAAACTGGTGAGAACTAAATGAGTCAGGATACCATGGTGTAACGTAGACAGCAACCGTTTTTATGTAAATTGAACAGGCAATTAAAAAAAAGGTTTTGAAATGTTCTGAGAAATTGTTAGTTTATAGCACAAACCTGTTAATCAAACTTTAAAAGATCACGTCATATGAAACCAACCTCGACATACTTTTGTGTTTTCAGTTCACGCATTTAGTTTCCCTTACCTCCAGTATAATGACCAGGCCTTGCAACGGCTTGGATCGGCCGGGAGCGTTCAATGCTGAGACGCACTATTGTTATTGAAAGCAGCATCCCACCTTTTGCGGCATATTTCAAAAACATATTTAAGTGGAAACTCAGGACCAGTTGCATCTAAAAAACAACACAGATTAGTGCCACTGTAGCATCAAGACATGATAAGGTCATTGATTTAGCACATTTTCGAACCGAATAACATTGTCTATGCTTTTTAACAGCACTACTAGGCGCCAAATGACCACTGCAATCAGTGTGCCCAAAAACCCCAATAAACAAGCTTGACACCTTCAATGGTGCGGATCAAAGAACATTTGTGGTCGGCGCAGCGGGCGACGGGGGCCTGTTGCCGAGAAGGGCAACGGTTGCAGTTTGAACCAGTGTGTTCAAACTGCAACACTGTGAGCCATGTCACACTTTCACTCTCGAAGCCAAAGTGCGCCTCGAAAAGAGTCACTGTGCCCGACGTAAAAGGTGATAAATCAAAGCCATATTATAACATTTCGTTGAATTTACGGCATAGTAGATTCAATTTAGCATAGTTGTTGTCCAGAGTGTCACAAGCTTTCGCAGCCTTTCTAACACAAGCATTTTGACAAAGTGGTATTATGCAAACATTACAGAACAGACGCACGCTGGAAAAGACAAGACAAATTGAATGTATTACTTTCGAAGTGATGAGCAAGCAGTACAAAGAGGCTTCTCCCACTGGAGCAGCTACTTCAGATCAAACTCTGAGCTATTCAGAGGGATTTGGAGAAAACTGGTATTATTGACTGAATTGTACGTGTTTGACCTTGAGTTCAAAAAGGTATCCTACTCCCTGTAACGGCAACAGACAAATCAAAACAAACAACAAATGTTACAGATCATCAAAAATGACAAAATAACAACACAAAACAGATCACCAACTTTAACCTTGCGGTCTCTCGAGCCGCGTGGAAGATAAAGCAGCAATGGAGATCGTAATTATCAATCCCCACCCTTTCTACGACATTTTCTTGTACTTGACAGAGAATATCACGACCCCCCTGGCATGACTTCTGACCGATAACGTGTTGCTAATGCTTCTCTCTGCTGACAGTGCTACTTCGGACGCAACGTTACCTGCGATCGGGCTGGTCGGTGGACCGAGGTCGTCACAGAAATGGGGATATGTCAGACCTTCCAAACCAGTAAGTGTGTCCACAACAATATTTCCACTTCTTTTTCATTACTATCATTTTTGTCACGCTATTATCGTTGTCTCGTCTTAGTTCTTGCCATTCTTTTCGTTTTGTCTTCCGTCTCATTTTTCCGTGCTTTTTCTATCTATCATTATCTGTCCTTATACGCACATTTCCTCCATCCCCATGCCCTTTTCCTTTCACCGCACTCGCTTTTTCCTCTCTCAACCCGTGCGCATGAAATCACTCTCGACCGCGCAGTGTTGTGTCAGGTAACACACACACAGCCCGGGGCCGCAATAAACGCAGGTCATTTCGGTGCGGCGCCAGCCACAGTCCGACATTTCACCTCTTCGGGCGATGTTTGGGAGATCAGCACGCAGGCCCGGAGCCAAACTGCTTGTTGAGAACGAGGCCGTTGTTATGATGCCTTCCGATGCGCATTAACGTGATGAATCTTTTTTGGCTGTCATCATCTCGATGAACTGAAAATATGTTCCGATGATGCGGCCAGGCCTGTTTTGTGATGTGCGAATGCGCCGTTGCTATCCCCTAAAAGCCTTTTTGATGCCAATACACGCAGTCATGTGGCCCAAACAGAGTCCTGCCGGGCGGGACGAAGACAAATCGAACTGAAACTATTGGAAGAGAGACGGGTCAAAATGATAGTGGTGGGGTACACTTTACAATCTGTTCACGTTTTGCCCCATTTACAGACCTTCTGAGTTAGAGAATTAAAGGTCCTGGTTCCTAACATTTTGTGGTGGCATCGCGTTTCTCCAGCTGAATGCCAAGTCGTGTCGTTTCAAACCGTCTTGTCATTTCAGATGAGCCTGTCAAGACCAGTGGCCATTTTAATCATCTCTACTTGGTGCTCAACGATAAGCAACAGAAGTTCAGAGGCGAGGAAGGTTAGATACATGAAGTGGTAATATGTCTTAACAGTTTCTAGTTATGACTTGTTAGAACTTGACTGAAACACATTCTGCGCAAGACATGTGTGGCGCCACGGACTGAGGTGTTGTTTAATGTCTTACGAACTGCGCACAGAGTGGCGTTACAGACTTTTGGGCACTTCATACCCACCCAATCGTGCTGTTGCGCCTGCTACAATTCTCAGTGTGACTTCAGAAATGTTGGTTGGCATGGAGCTTACCTCAACGTCTAGCGCGCCAGTCATGCGATGCGGACAAAAACATGTGAAATTAGTGCGAGAAGACTGGGAAATCTTAAGTTACCTTCTCGCAGCACTCCGAACCACATATTACCGAAATACAACAATAATGTAGTTTGATCCCAGTGTTTACAAGATATTGCTGTTTCAACTTACGCCTACAACTGCGACCGAAGAACTCAAATAAAGGTACTTGTCTTTGGCGCCCACAACAGGCTTTCCCGTGGTTCAGCTTCCCCACGCGCCTCGCTGATAACAGGGTGGGGGTAGTTATCTCAAAGGTTGTGTTGTTCACTATGATGGGGATAATGATCCTGACCTTCGCCAAACAGGCAATTTCTCTGCGTCACTGGACAATGGCTACTTGACTTCCCTTGTTCCCTGCTCTTGGAGAAACTACTTGCAGACACAAACTCTTGCAGACACCAAAAATGGCGTAGGGAAACTGGTATAGTTGTATAAGATTAGTGGCACTTAGATACCATCTGTGCAAGTCAACTTTGGTGGGCCAGAAAAGTTCAACAGGGTAAAATTAGTGAGTGCAAGTATTTTTCATCTTCAGAACCATGAGCGGTACGGCACTGGGGAAATCGTTGTTGTATGCTTCGCGGACCACTGAATCTTGCTCTGATTTGAACCGGTCAAGGTGTGTAACTTATGCCATATCAAGCCAGGTCTCAAACGCATAAATTCTCCTCAGAATATTGAATGGTATTAAATCTACACATCTGCACTATGATATACTGCAAGAACATACTATAAACGAATTTACTGCAATTATTTTACAACTAGTATCCTTCGACAAAGTTATCAAGTGCCTGATCTCGGAATATGACCGGCATGATCTCGTAGATATATTTTAATTGGTGATACATGGAAAACATGGCTTTTAAGTTCTACGGACTAGTTACAAATGAAAACGCTTGCTCGGGTTTGGGTCAATTTGACCCCCGAAGGTTTTTTTATAATAACTTCCAAACGGGGTCATATGACCCCGCCTCACTTTGTGTAGCTGTAGATAACCGAATAGCCGATAGTTTGGTATAGACAAATATATTTACCTTGTAAGGTCGCTGACCTACGGTAGGTCAAAGCCTTCCGTAGGCATTGCATGGCTGTCAGCTAAGGAAATTCCTGGGAACTCGTTTTGTCCGATGCGACAATCGAATGTTACACGAAGCCGTGCATCTCCTATTTGCCTAGTCGTGATTTCCTATTTGAACGTCATGAGGATCAGAGGAGATCATTGGCCTAAAATAACTCTTATCAATGTCTGTTTTTTGGAACATACAACCTAGTGCAGTCTTTGACGCTTATTTAAATGCAAAAAATCAAAACAGTCTCCGAGTTTTTTGGTCACCTTGACGTTCTGAAGGGCAGATGAGGTCACTGAGCTGAAATGAACGCCAGTGACCTTTTGCTTATAAGAGCTATGTAGGTTAAAGATAACTGCATAATGCGATCGGAGGACACTTCGAACTCCATCAATAGTACGACCTTGTTTGCCATTATTGGGCCGAAAGTCATGAAATAAGAATCTAATGATCTGAATCATTGAGCTCATATAAATAATTTCCTACGCTGTGGATTTCGTGTCTCTAGCTGTCTTAGTTTTTGAGAGCTCATGGAAGGCCAGGTCGACCCCTTCCGAGCGTGTCGTACTCAACGGCCACCCAAGGCCGGTTGAAATTGCTGAAAACGCGGAAAAGGTCCTAGAAATTTCAGCAGCATAGATGAGAAGCTCTATATTTCGTACGAGGTGTTTTTTTTATTCAGCTACTCCAGCTTTGATGATCCAGAATGACCTGGCCCCTTCGCCACTTGACGATATTGTTTCCCATATAGTCTGAAAAAATTGGGCTCACCCCAAGTATCGTGAAGCTACAACGCGGCTAGACAATTCTGGCCCATCAAGGCTGGAGAAGCTGAATAAAGAACAACTTCATACAAACATTAGCACTCTCAGCTAGAAGAGCCACCCTATCATTCTCAAGTCGTTTTCTGAAAATTTCCGGGGAGCGGGATCTCTGGCCCTTTTCTTTCAGGGAGGCCTAATGTGGTTGCTGTTGATGAAGGTGACGCCGGCGGTTGCGTTGCTGATGGCAGTGGTGATAAGGATGTTGGCGAAGGTGGAGATGATGACAACAGTGACCAGGACGACGGCGATTGTGGGGTGCTGGTGCTGACGGCAGGGTTCCGCGTGCTGATCCACGACCCGGCCGACGACCCGCGTCTGATGGTGCGCACGCACGGCAGCTCCATAGTGCAGCGGCACGGCCGGGACGTCAGGATGGTGCTCAAGGAGGTAGGTCTCAGGCACCGCTGGATGGTGCTCAAGGAGGTAGGTCTCAGGCACCGCTGGAGAACCGCGCAGGCCGCAGCACGCACGCTCATAACACCGATCACGGGCCAGAAACATCTAGGCGGGGGGGGGGGGGGGGGGGGTTAGCATGCAAAGCACAAATTATGGAGCACTGACTGACACATTCTTGGTAAAGCTGACTTGAGGGTTTGAAACATTTGCAGTTCTAATGAGGCTACATAGTTCATACCATGTCCAGACTTCAGTCGATGCTGGCTTTTATAATGGTGACCAAGTGTGCGTTAGTGTGATCAGTCTGCGCATGCGCCTGCCGTGTCCCATGCGATACGCCAGCGAAGCCATGCATCTTTGCATCTTTCCACGTTCATGCTTTTCCACATCCATACCCTGTGCTCTGTTTTTCATGTCTGTACCACTGATCACTGGGCTTTAGTGGTGCCAGTTAGTGTTTACCAGTGATTGGTTTATGTATGCTCTCCTGTATTTCTAGCAGGGTCAAAGTCATGTAATCTGATTGTGGTCTAACAGGCTCACAATAGTCTAATAGTCTCATAATATTCTAAAAGTCTCAAAACAGTATAAAAGTCTCAAAATAGTATACAAGTCTCATGATAGTCAACTAACTCATGTGGTCTCATGAAAGTCTTCTTTTTTACCAATGTCTGTCCGTCCGTCCGTCCATCCGTCCACTGGTCCATTCATCCGTCCGACCGGTCGTCCGTCCGTCCGTCCATCCGTCCACTGGTCCATTCATCCGTCCGACCGGTCGTCCGTCCGTCCGTCCATCCGTCCACTGGTCCATTCATCCGTCCGACCGGTCGTCCGTCCGTCCGTCCATCCGTCCACTGGTCCATTCATCCGTCCGACCGGTCGTCCGTCCGTCCGTCCATCCGTCCACTGGTCCATTCATCCGTCCGACCGGTCGTCCGTCCGTCCGAGTCAGCGTGACGTCCCGGTTGCCCCTTCCGTCGCCGAAGACGTAGCTTCCTCGGGCAGTGAAGCGAACGGGAGTCGCTCGTTTTAAACAAGCGGCTTCCTTGTATGAAACCAAAGTCCATCGCAAACAACTTCTGAAAACTGGGACTCGCGGCCCACTTTGTTTGGAGCGGTCGCTTCTGTGAACTCCTTTGTGTCCAGTCTCGCGGGTAACTCACATTTCCGGCTCGCAGTTCAAGGCAATACCCAGCCGGGAGTACTTCTGCAAAGACCGCGAGGACAAGTACTCCCACATTGGATGCGAAGCCAACTGTTTCAACCGCATTCTGCACAGCGAAGTGGGCTGTCTGCTGCCCTTCATGACCCACACCCCGGGTAAGTCACTTCGCCTCGAGGAAAGTGGTGCAGCATAACTTTCAACTCGTCTACGCGCGTCACTTCAGTCCAGTGGCACAGGCATGGGGGGGGGGGGGGGAGCGCAGGGGACACGTCCACTCCTCCTCCCTTGGGTCTCGAGGGGCCCTTCGGACCCCTCGGGACCTACATTTAAGGGCCCAATTTGGGGGCCCGGTGGGCCTGAAAGGCCAACCTAAAGTCGCCTTCAGGGGTCCAGCCCGCAGGGCCGGTACCTCAGTGCCATCCAGAGGGTCCTGCGCGCTGGTCAGGCGCCCCCTGAGTGGATAAGGGCCTATATGCCGGTCAGACACCATCAACTACGCATAGTCGGCTACGTGTCGGCATGGGCCTGAGGGCCCATTCCCCAAGCAGGTACAAAGCAGGAGCCAGCGATGTACATTTTTCGGGGCCCGAGAAAAGCTCAAAAATACCAAATATCTTGAAGTAGAGGCGGATCTAGAGGATGGGTGTAGGGTCATGCTTCCCCCCCCCCCCCCCCACACACCCTTGAGCCCGATAAAGTTTTTGGTGCCTCATCGGGGCACTAAAGCCTCGTGATGAAGAGGCACCAAAACCTTCATTGCGTGATGCATCGTAACCGTTGTTTTCAAGACGCAACAACTTCCAGCAGCACCACGAAAAACCGAAATCTTCATTTTTGACAGCCATTAAATTCCAGGGACACCATAATGTCCATGCCGTTTCCATTGGCGAAATTCTGAATCGGCCTGTTTAGTGAGCGAGCAAAAAGTCCTTTATTAGGGACATAATGATCTTTATTTTGAAAAAGCGCCCAATTCCAGAGAGCGTCACAAAGAGCCCCGACCCTTCATTGGCAAGGGGCATCAAATTCCAAGGGAATAACAATGATGTACCGCACACCCTGATGAAATCCTGGATTGGACCCTTGTGCGGGCATCACCAAAACCTTAAATGTGGCGCACCATAGCTCTTATTTTTAGGAGACACCGAATCCAGCAAGGCCATTTAAAGGGTCCAATACCATCATTTTACAATGAAACTAAAATCCAAGAGTGCCAAAAGTTCCGTGCATTTTATTCTACCATGCACCCATCTTGCCACCCATTTTCCAATCAGGTGAGGCACCCAATCTCAGGAAGCACCACAATGGCCCCCAAAACCGTCATTTTCAAAGACAAACCATCCAAAGGGACACCGCAATGCCCGTCTTTGTCCATTCACGAAATCCTGGATTTTCCCATTCGGCGAAGGGCATCGAAGCCTTCCCAGGCTGCCAAATTCTGGCTATCTCACTACTGGCAGACCGCAACCAGCTAGCAATAAAATTTGAAAGCTTAGTTCGACCAGAAAGGCCGTGTAGTCCAAAGAGCGATGTACAATGGGGTCGACGATGCTCCAACAATGGCATCATTCGCACATGAACGAACCCGTCGCACACAACTTAAAGTGTCTTACATTGTACGGCGTAACTTTCAAATCGCCGCTGCGGTATCCCCGCACTCTGCGCTCGTGGTTTTAAGTACCTTTTTAGAGCCGCCGGATTTTGGCCATAGCGCTAAGGGCAAGCCTGCCGCAGTTAGCAATACGCCGTCAGTGCTTTATTCGAACTAAAAAGGTTATGGCGGCCGATGAGCGACTTAGGTTGACGGCAGATAACTCCGGGAATAGCATAGTAAGCGCATGGTCGCACCAGCAGAGGGTGCGACCATGCGCATACTATGTTGCGAGCAGCGGCTGCTCACGACTTAGAGTATGTCGAACTGGACGCCATAGCTTTGCAAGTTGTCGCTGCGGTCGGTCCACCAGCAGTCGGTGCGGCGCTGCCGGGGCGCCGGCCGGATAAAATGGACGTACAATACTGACAAGTGTATTGTACTGGGAGCACATGCCCCAGCGCTGTCCAATGCTGCCGGGGCGCCGGCCGCATTGGACAGCGCTCTTCGAGCAAGGTCATAACTTTTTTCCCTCGAGCTGTCGTATTCTGGCCATCGCGCCCGGGCAGTTTGAACAATTCATACAATGCACAGTCGAGAGGTGATTTGAAAAAGACTGAAAACAGACATGTCGATTGATAATCTATTTTACTGACGGGTAGCACCCACACAATGACGTCGTGTGCATACGGTCACACATGTCGAGCCCCTATAAAATATTTTAAATTGGACTCTTCAAAGGGAGGTTCTTACCTTTTTTGCACTTTTTGCTTATTGTTGCGTCAGACGCGTACGATTTGATCAGCAATATCAGTTTCCTCGAAGTATTTTTGAAAGCTCAGAAATTTGATTTTAAGTAGCCGACCCTTGCAGCGAGAAATTTCATTGGGCTCCCTGCCCACCACCACGAAAGAAATGCATTTCATTTGCCTTGCTTTTTCAATGTGTGTGCTCTGTGGTGTTTACAACACACTTATGTTTCAAAACGCTTGTGCAGTAAGTGCTGCGAAACCTTGAAACACTCTGTTTGGACCAAAATTTTTGCTAAACTGAAGCTATGATCGCTCGGATGCAACGAACGTCATACTATGACTTTCATTTCTCCCCTCTGGCGTTTACCACAGTGGCTCTTTTCGAGGTGCACTTTGACTCTGGGAATAGGAGTGTAACACAATTGATATGACGCACTGATGAAAACTTCCACCAATGCGCCCCTCGGCAACAGGCCCTTGCCTGCTGAGTCAGTTTCTTTTATTCGTACCTGGAAAGGTGCTCATGGTGGTCGTCATGACGACTGTAGTCGCGATTGCAGAGAAGAAGTGTAGTGCTGTTATAAAGCGTCGAGAGCGTAATTTGGACCGAAACACAATGCAAATTGGTATCCCTTTTATGTCTTACCGATGCTGCAATAACAGTACCCAGTGCTGTTTTTAGACTTAATTAGTCCTGAGGTTTCATTAGTGTGTTTTTGAAATATGCCACAAAAGTGGGACACTTCATCTTAACTTTGAAAATCGCCGCTGCGGCAGTCCCGCCTGCATTGAGTGAGACGCTGGCGGGGATCAACCGAAGAAAACGCATATCTTTATCTGACAAATGCGTTCTACTGGGGCTGACTGCCCTATAGCATGGCTGTCGAATACACATCGTCAGGATGATGACAAGCATCTTGCCGTATTCTGGCCATCGATATGCCAAACTGCAATAATTATGACTGTAACTGTAACATCACGCTACGGGCAGGCCGCGCGCACTGAGCAACGCGCCTTCCATGCGTTATAAAGGACCATGTTAAGCGAACAAGACCGTGCCATCGTCAAAGGATACACTGGGTGTCGTTTTTTCTTCGTAAGACTTGCGGGCGCGCATGCTGAAGGCTTTGCTATATAATTTTTCCGCTACTTGATTCTGAACGAGGTTAAACATTTCCAGACTGGCATGGGTTTACATTAACGTTATTTTTTATGTCTCTGTGGAACCCTGAGAAATTCTGGCAAAACCCCTGAGTGTTACCAGTTAAGGAAAGGTTCACTAAACTGTCCTGTTTCAAGATGAATTGCACAGGCGGTTTTTCATGCAGTCACTTAACGTCTTCTTCCTTAAGCTTAATTATTTCAAAATGAAAGTAGAATCGTGCCTCCTGGTGACTTCTGGCTTTTGGTTCAGCTAAAGAAAGCACACATTAAAATGAAAGGATGAACGTCGCGTCCCATGACAATTAAGTTTGCTAACGTGGCGATTTTTTGAGGAGAGTGTTCACCATTAGGGGTCCCTTGTCAACCGTGTGCCTCCTTCCCCATCCCCCCCATCATCAAGACTCAGCCCATCCATATATCTAATATCACTGAGCTAGAACGCCATCTCGACGCCGCTCCGACCCCGCATGGTACGCTCGCAGGCCTACAGGGTGCTGCCATCTGCAACACCACCAAGCAGTACCGCAACGCCATCTTGCACAAGCAGTACCTGCTGCACAGCGGCGGCTGGAACGCGCAGGACAACTGCACGTGCGAGCGCAAGTGTCACGAGTTCGAGTATCTGCTGTTCGCCGAGACGGGCGAGATCAGCGACTCGCGCGCGCGTCTCCGTGTCTTCTATCAGGTCAGTGCGGCAGGTCACTCCTGGACCTCTAACAGGTCAACGGCCGTTTAACCCTCTTCCTGATTCGCCGCTTTTCATCGCAATGAGTGATAGGATGGGCAGTGCGCTTCCCTGCCGCCTCCAGACTAAGACCCATAGGGAACTGCAAAAAAACAGCACCAGTGGATTGGCCTCAACGGATGTTGCAATTGGTGCACAATTTTGGGTCGCTAGGTCAATGACTGACACAACTAAGCCAGCTTAAATGCCACCTCTCCGATTATCAGATTATTTCAGCTTTCAATGTCAATATTTCCCTGTTGTGTGGCGACGAAACGCCTCATTGTCGCAGATTCAATGCACCGTTGACAGTTCGTCAAGTGCTTTACTCGTCATCACGTTTCAAGGAAGAACGATTGCATCATTTTGGGCCTCATGCGTCATGTTTGACTTATTGCAACATGCTAGGAGGCGGCTCTTTATTGTTACACTCCAGTCAGCTGTTTCTCTTTCTAAGAGAGACATCCAATTTTCAGCTGTATCGGCTCATTGACGCTTAAAAAACAACACAACCCTACAACAACACAACCCCACAACCGCCGTTACGGGCGCAATGTGACATTTGATGTCGACGTGTCCTGAAGTCTCAAATCGTCATCATCAATGCCAATATTTACCACAGCGTGTCACTACGTAGCACGAAATTTACACAGATATACTTTTTCTTTGATATGGGCGCATGGGTATGCAGTTAGTGTGATTTGAACATACACTTATGATGTAGAGCTCATTCGATATGACAGTGTTGTCTCCAACGCCTGCTAATCGGTGAATCCGTCCATTGCCACCCTCTGCTCGCCCTGGTCGTAGATCACCGTGCAGTTCTCCTAACCAATGTTGCTACTCAGAAACCAGAAAAGTATATATACGGCTTTGGTATCCAAACACGCACAATTCTGTGTACACTGTGTGCCGAAGATTTGGGCGCAATCACACGACATGCCGGTGAGATATCCTCAGCAGACCTGAGAAGGAGCGCGTGAGGCACATCAGTTCTCTTTATCAGGGCAAGGGTTAAACGACAGTAAGGTTAGGATTCTGCGCTTACCTCCGTCGCCTTTGGGACTTTTGGTAATTGTAACACATACCATGCGTTGGGTACGTTCATGTCGTTGTGGTCTTATCTCCGCTTGACGGTCAGAACCCAATGTGTCCGCATCGCGCAAAGCGGTGCGTTGTTTGAATGGAACA